TTTCTCTTACTACTACAATTTTTTAATTTATGTTTTTTTCTTGTAATACTTCGACGTGCATTTTAAGTATAAATGACAAAAACAGTTTTGGGAGTAAGTCGATGTGATTGTCGAGTGAACCTCCAGTCTGCTGAGAAGTTTTGTAAATCCGACAACATGCCAGCTGCCCAGGCAGCACTGATAATTGCCCTCGACCAATTACGTCATCTCCGCCATCAATTAACTAATTAAATCCAAACTGAACAGAAACACTTGAACAAACATCAGAGAGAAGAGAACGAGCTGAAACGACAGAAACATCTTCACAAACATTTATTCAACGTCTACTTTCCCGATGTTTGGGCTTCACTTAACAAACACATTTATATTCTTTAAAAAAAACAAAATGAAGAGGAAAAATAGAAACTGCACAAAAGAAGAAGATTGTAGACGGAGGAAGAAGACGAGAGACAAGACGAGCTGGTGAGACAAGAAATAAAGAGAGAAGACAAAGAGGAAGAACAGGAAACAGAGGAGGAAATATTGTGAGGTGCTCGAGAGAGATGAAGAGGAGGAGGAGGAGGAAGGAGGGTGACATTTGAGCAAAAGAGAAGAAGATACAGCAGAGAGAAGAGGGGGAGGATTAGAGGATGAGGAGAGGAAGAGTATGAGGAAGAGGAGGGGATTATTTTGGGATGAGGAAGGAGTGGGAGGGAAGATGGTTCAACAAAACAACACAGGAGACTCCTCATCAGGCCGGAGGAGACGAGCTCCTCATTATGGTGGATAAGTATCAGTTGTCTGAGACGGAGGAGGAGGAGGGACAAATAGGACGAGGACATCTGAGTGAGAGGGAAGGAAAGAGGAGAAGAGGAGGAGGAAGAGGAGGAAGAGGAGGAAGAGGAGGAGGAGGAGAAGAGGAGAAGAGGAGGAGGAGGAGAAGGCGTGAAGCTGTTTTCAGACATGAACTCCAGAAAATGTTCAGAAAATAATAACTCAACATTTTCCAGAACGTCCTCGTCTTTCCAAGTTGACGTCTTCATCTTCTACGTGCGCGGCTCCTCTTCTTCACCCTGAGACGAGAGACTGAGAGGAAGAGTTCTTATTTGAAGTTGTGTTTGTGGCCTTTAGGGCGAGATGGATGATGTGTCTGCACGTCTACAACCTGACACACGTGACATTTATAAACCAAATGTCACGTGTGTGTGTGTGCGTGTGTGTCTGTGTGTGTGTGTGTCTGTGTGTGTGTGTGAGTGTGTGTGTGTGTGAGTGTGTGTGTGTGTGTCTTCTAGATGAGTCTGTTCATTGAACTGGATTAAAGCTTTGTTCTGTAGAATAATGATAATAAACACTAACACAGTATTTTAGACACTTAAAGGGACAAACAAGAGAAAACGTTCTGATGAAGATGAAGATGAAGATGAAGATGAAGATGAGGATGAAGATGAGGATGAAGGTTTCAGGGTCGTAGCTCTTTGATTCATCTCTGTCAAACACTCAGACCTTTAGCTTCAGTATGTTTTGTACTATACAATGTTCTATATTCATCCTCCTTCATTCTCTCCACTTCTTCTGTTATTGCATCTATCCCCCCTCCCCCTCCTCCCTCCCCCTCCTCCCATCATCCTCTCCTATTTCTTTTTTAGAGCTCATCTCCCCCCTCCCCCACTTCCTCGTCCTCCTGTCAGTCATGATGGATCAGATCTTGTGATTGCCTCATCAGACGTCAGGAGCATCTGCCCCTCTGGGACTGTAGAGTGTGTGTGTGTGTGTGTGTGTGTGTGTGTGTGTGTGTGTGTGTGTGTGAGCTACATCGCTGACCCCTCCACAGTCGTAATCCTGTGTGAACACGACTTCATGACAAACACGACTCGGCCTCTCAGTTTTTCTCAGTGTGGCTTTTATTAATTAGAACATGACATGAATGTAAAGAAACAGAATCACGAACACGCTGACACACGGAGCGATCGTCTTCACAGGAAGCAGAAATGAAACGATGGCAGCTCGTCGTACTCAGCAGAGAATATCTGGTCCTAATGGACTTTTCATGTTCAAGTGCAATAAAATATTCATAACTCGTTTAGTTCTGCGATTGGTTCGGGTGAGTGTGTGTGTGAGTGTGTGTGTGTGTGTGTGTGTGTGCATGTAAGTGTGTACTTGCTGTACAGGTTAATGTGTGTCTCTGTTGTACAACTTGGAATGAGAGCGTCATCAAACCGCGGATTCTTCTCTGTGTTTGCTGCAGACTCGTGTAGCGTCGCTGAAAGTCTCCGTCTCTCGGCTCGAGCGTCGGATTCACGTCACCACATTTATTTATTTATTTATCCTGTTCCGATGTTTTCACGTCCGAACAGTGAAACGTGTTTAGTGACGTTAATCTGTGAAAATAAGAATCAAAGACTGGAAACAAAGATGGACGACACTTCTTCACCTCCCCCAGAAATGAGTACCAAATAGTTCGAATACAAACGCTGCCATCTTGAGGTTATTTGCAGTCAGCAGCGACGGAGGAGTGGAGGCGTGGCATCAAGGTGCTGATGATACATAAGCTCGACCAATCACAAGTCAGTCTCAGCTGTCAATCATGACGAGACTTTAAAACCCCGCCTCTGCTCCGCGATCACTGCTGCACAGACCGACCGCAAATGACGTCATCACCACAAGATGGCAGCGTTTGTACCTGAGACACTTTGGACAGCAGGAAGTGGCGACGCGTCGTATCCATGTCGGCCTCATTTCCACGTCATGTGACCGGTGGATAATTTAGCAGCCGAGGTGTTGATGTTGTTTTATTTGTGGTTTAAAGGAGTACACCAGAGTACACTGTGTACTACAAGTACATGTACTGAGTGAAGTATATGGAAGTTTTTCATTGTTCTGTTTCAGTAGAAATCACTTTGTATGTTTTGTTCGTTGTGATTGGTCGCCATCGTGTCCGTGTGTGAACTGGTAGGACGCAGCGTGAATCAGACCCGGTGTCGACTGTAGCCCTTTGATTTCAGCTTCACTTCACGAGCACCGGCGCAGCGTGCATGTGAGCCCCCACACGCGTGCACGTGAGCCCCCACACGCGTGTCACTGAGCCGAACCACACAGAGACGATTTTGCATAGACATCAATTCAAGTCACGCTCATGCAAATGGACGGAGGACACGTGGACGACGGACAGGAAGTTAAAGAAAAGAAAAAGAAAAGAAGTGAGCGTGGAGAGGACGGACGAGTGACGTGATCGGTTCATCGAGGTTTTATAAAAATAAGTACGTTTGTTTCATATTGAACATTTTTCTCAGAATGATTCTGAAACAACAGAAGAAACAAAGACGACATGAAAGTGTCTGAAAACACGAGATTCATCTGCTGCGTCGTGAAGCTACTCAGCGGCTGATCTGTTTCTCAGTATTGCTTTTATCACTCTGTCAGTGCAACCACCAGGCCTGTGTGTGTGTGTGTGTGTGTGTGTGTGTGTGTGTGTGTGTGTGTGTGTGTTAGTGAGGCCAAGCAAACATGCAGCATTATTCTCTCAGTAAAATTCTCTGAGCATCAGGTCGATTAAAAAACAGAGCACAGTAAACATCTGTCAGGTCTTTGAGCGCTGCTCGATCGTTCTCCGCCACAGAACCACGACAAGTAAACACGTCACAGGAAACAGCAGATGTCACGTGATCAGTCACGTGATCACGTAGTCACGTGTTTCACTCGGTTTACGTTCGGTAGAGAAAAGCTGCAATTTTCAAACGGCACCTGTCAATCAAATCACGTTTACGCAAATACAGGTCCCGCCCATCGACGGTAAACAAAGATGGTCGACATGACAGCTCCATAATCGTGAAGTCAACGCCTCTCGATCGCCCTCTGGTGGCCGGCTACAGAATAAATGAATCAACATTTCAAAGATGTTTCTGTCGTTTCTTCTCGTTCTTCTCTCTGATGTTTGTTCACTGACTCCTGATTGGTCCAGAGCATGTGGGCGGGACCTTCATTTGATTTCTGGAGTCTGATTGACATAACTGTTTTCACACGGACTCAGATTTTTACCGACTCGATAAAAAAACACCAAAAATGTTCATCGTCTTTTCTTTGATGGTTTTTCTTTACCGGAATTTTTTTTTAAATAATTTTCATGAATCTGATATTTCTGCTCAGATGTGACGAGGTCATCGTTAGATCCTCACATGGCAGTGACATCATCATCACTTCCTCTGCGCAGACAGGAAGTGGATCTACTTGATTCTAGTTCTGTGGCTGAAGGTCGACGAGTTTACGCTCAGAGAGTGTGTGTGTGTTAAAACGTCCAGTTTGAGCTCACATGTGAAAACACAACTCTTCTATCTAACAAAACATCTGGTTATTAGCATCAATGATACAGAGGAAATGATTATTCTTTGTTCACACAACTAAAAAAAACAAGAAGAGTTTTACAGTGTTTACCTGCAGCCATGTTGGAAAAGTTTTTTTTCTAAAACTGTAAATGTAATACTCCTTTAATAAGTTAAAAAAATAATTTAAACAACACATTTTAAAATGAGAACTGAGAATGAAAACAAAACAGACTGTAAACACAGGAAGAGAGAAACTTTTAAAATCCGTTGTATGTTTTAAAAAACTCTTTACAACAAACGAAAGAAATAAAAAAGAGACAGGAAGCAGACAGGAAGTAGTTTTATACAAGTCGACATCATTGTATACAAAAGCCGAGTCGTTCAGCTCAGTGTTAGTGACCAGTGATATAAATTCTCTGAGGGAATATTTCATATTAGTCAATAAATATGTGAGTACACAGTAGAATAAAGGAGCGGGGGAGGAAAAGCTGAAAAGTCTTTATGGCTTTTAGAGGCTTCGTGGCCCAAATCAACTCAAATCTCAGAATCGTCGTCTCGCTCCGACGAGGGCAGCGTCAAAAACAAAACTCCCAGACACACACAAAGTTCAGTGAGACGTGAAAGTGGGATAACTGGAAAATAAAACTGAGATTCTACTGAGTCGGATTTTTTCTCATTAAATCAAAGTGATGTTTTGTCTCTAAAGGATTTTAACACACGACTTTAATCACCTCAAAGATTAAAACAAAATTCATGAGATGAAACATTTTATCTCCTGAAAGTAAATTTTCACTGTTGAATAAATCACAGGAAGTTTTTTCGACAGCGTCTGAATCTTCATCACATTTTTATAGGAGACGTTTTCAGTTTGATTGTTATATAATTATAATAACGTCAAATGTTTTCATGCTCTAAAGTTCAGACCGTCCATCGCTGCAGCTCCTCTGTTCAGCCTCTGTCTCAAACACTTGGTTTTAGAGGCTGTCTCTTTAAGACCCCCCCGATAGTCTGCTCTGATTGGTCAGTAGATTTTTCAGGTCTGTTTGTTTCAACCATTAAAAGTGTTTAACGCTGAAGGACAGAGTCTTCATATCCGTCTCTTCTGTCTCTAAAAGTCTCTGTGTCTCTATCGTCCTCCTGAGTCTCTGAGGTTGGATGTTTAGTTTCAGATTATGTTCAGTTCCCATTAGAACCAAACTCGGTTCCTGAGTTTAACAAACTATTTTTCTGGCTGACGAGCGGGTCGGGCTCATCTTCTGCCGCTTCACAATAAAAGCTTCCACCAGGAACCCAGAGGGAGGCTTTTATTGTGAAAGTCAGAGGAGTTAGTGAAGAGGAGCTGCTCTTCGACGTGAACTGTGACTCATCAGAGACAGACTCCTCCCAGTGATCCCACTTCCACAGAGAAACAGTCAAAATGGAGGAAAGGGACAAAGACAGAAAAGGTCAAAAGTGATGAAGAAGGAAAAAGAAACTGCCCTCAGTCTGAGACCAGATACCTCAGTGACGTTTCCTCTTCAGTACGGAGCAAACTTCTGTCGCTCCGGCTTCTTCATCCCGTTGGCTGAGGAGGAGATCTTAGCCGTGTAGGACGCCAGGGCCGCCACCGCATGAGCCGGGACGCCTGCGGTCGCTGCCGTCTGCATTGAGCCTGGTAACAAGGGAGCCCCAATGGCCGCCGCCGCCGCCGCTGAGGCAGGAGGGCTGGAGAGGGCCAGGTAGGGGATGGATTTCACTCCCAGGAGGCTGGAGAGGGGAAAGGCGTAGGGGGCCCCCAGGAGGGGAGCGTGGGGCATCGTGCCGCCCATCGCTGCCAGGGGGGAGGAGGAGGAGGACGAGGCAGGGGGGGCGGGCTGGGTGAAGCTCATGGTCAGGTCAACGGGAGACGGCATGGAGGAGGACTGGGCGGTGGATTTGGCGGTCTCTAAACTGGAGGAGGGGAGGGACGAGGGGAGGGAGGGAGGAAGGGAGGAAGAGGAGGTGGAAGGAAGGGACGGAGGGTGGAGGGAGGGGAGAGCGGTACGGGGGAGGGGTTTGGATGGAGAAGGGTTAGAGGGTTAAACCAAAGACATGTTAAAAAAATCAAAAACTAAATCATAGAGAAAAACAAAGAGGATTTTAGAATCAAAATGAAAGAAGTGAAATCATAAAACCAAGTTCTACTGGAGGAGCAACAGATTATTGTCGGGGGGGCGCTGTACGGATGGGGGGTGTGCTGTGTAAGTTGGGGTGATGGCTCGGGAGGGGGCTTAGGGAGGAGGGGACACAACCATCGCACAGACATTAGGATGAAAGTTTGTCAGAGATGATGAAGATGATGAAGAAGAAGAAGAAGAAGCATAAAAAAACTTCAAACGTCACAGTCTCTGGTTTTTTTTTTACCTTAGCATCGTTAGCATCGTTAGCTCGGGTTTGTTTCCTACAGTGTTTGGAATATTTAGTGATTTGACACCTCGAATGTTTTCAACCTTTAAAACTCGTGTCTCAATGGTTCAGCTTCAGGACGTCTGCAGATTTAAACAATTCAAGACTTTTTAATTGAATCAAAATTCAGCCAAAATGTCACCTGGACCTAAAACACCTCGACCGAGAAGAGTTCGTGTTTGTGTGATAACAGAAAGTAGTGGACAGTGAACAGAAGATGGAGTCTGGACGCTCCAGAGGCGGAGTCATGGTCGGACGATGGTTTGGATCAAACACTGAGAAACAAAGACGCTAACGGGAAAAGTTTGTGAGACAGAAATAATCCAACATGTTGACTGATGCGTTTCTCGTCTTGTTTCGGGAGTTTAGCTTCTCGCCACGACGTCGGTTTGTTCTGCAGCAGCTTGTGGAGTTTGAATCTTTAGCTGCCGCCACAAACCAGTTTGGAAACTCACCATGAAGTGATCAGGTACTGAGCCAGGTTGATGGCGATGGGCGTGCCGGTGATGGTGACGTGACGATCACTGGTGCTGTCCAGCTGACTGCCGATCTTTATCTGAGCTCCAGAAACCTGCCGGATCTCGTTGATCTTGGTGCCCTGACGTCCGATGATGGAGCCAATCAGCTGTGAGGAGGCGGGGACACAGAGGATTCAGGGTTAAAGGTGCGACGCGGTTACTGAGTCTCTGACGACACCAATGTGTTCTGATGTGTGATGCACCAGCTGTCAAATGTTTTACTTTGTGTTCAAGAAACAAAAAAGGATATGAACAAAACACACACAAAGAAAAAACGTTAAGATATTTTAGATACTTCTTGTGTTTTCTTGTTTAAGAATTTGAAAATAGCGACAGGTGACGAACTCTGACTCATCTGCCTGCCATCAGCTTAGTGTGTGTGTGTGTGTGTGTGTGTGTGTGTGTGTGTGTGTGTGTGTTCTATACTGGGATCATTGGGGTTTCGTCACAGCAGGTGTCACGGTAACACCAGACAAATATTTACTGAGCTGATCTCTGTGTCACTTCAGACCATAAATATTCTCATTGACGGAGAACAGGTCGACATCAGGTCGTTCAGGACCTGTCGGTGAATAACACATATGTTCTGACTGTAGCTGCCTCACAAGTTCCCGTCCGAGTCGCTGAGTGACGCTGTCTGGAAACAGAGCCGTTCTTTGAAAGCTCTGCAGTTATCTGATCGTTACAGCAGCAGAAACCTGAGGTCGATCTCAAACAACCTGGAGCACAGTCACGTCCTCCAGAGGAAGTGGTGGACACCAGACTGGAGACAACAACTCAGACCTGGAGACTGCAGAGAGACATGTGGGGTCACAGGTTCCTCACATGTTCCTCACATGTTCCTCACATGTTCTGCAGCCTCCTAGTAAAATGTCTGAGTCAAATGTTTCAGCCAGTTTGGTGGAGAGCAGATTAAGACCCTTGTCTCTCGCTCTCTCTCTGAACCACAAACATTCCTTTCCTCATTTGACAAACAACTTCTGATGGAGCTCTAAGTGAGTTATTCATGGAACTAGGCCTGATAACTGAAGTGTGTGTGTGTGTGTGTGTGTGTGTGTGTGTGTGGTATCTATAATAACACTGTGGGAGGAAGAAGACAAAGTGGCAGCTGACAACAACCAGGTCAGGACCATTTGTGTGAATCCACGTCATGAACGTCCCCCTGGCTCGTTAAGTTCTCGCTGTTGGAGACAACTGTGCTTCTTTTCACTTAGCTTGGCATTGGTGTTAGCTTAGCATCTCTAATGGCATCAGTCAACACTGGAAACAACAAACCAGCCCGAACCCTGTCTTCTGTGTAGTGACCAGCAGGGGGCGACTCTATAGAAGTCTGTGAGAGAATGACTCTGCTCTAGAGTTTTCAGCCCCCCCCCACCCAGCGTGAAGCTGAGGAGGATGAAGCGACGGCTATTTTTGGGCGAATCCCTGCCGCCCTCGAGATGTGGAGAGAGAGAGAGAGAGGGCGAGTCAGGCAGGGTGGTGGTTAAAGCTCTGAACTATGGGATGTTATTAAGCTGCTCAATGACTCAGTGTAACACACACACACACACACACACAGACACACACACACAGACACACACACACAGAGCTGTGTGTATAAACACATTAAAACCACAGAAAGACGAACCCTCTGGGACCTTGAGCTAATTTATAGCTGAGAGGTGACAGCACCCACAGAGGTGTTGATTATCTCGTCAGCTTCCTGTGAGATCGTGACGGGGGCGTTCCTCTGCGTCCTTTTTATCGTTTATTAAAGAGCCGGCAAACATTAAGTAAATGTGACTGTGTGAGTTTCTGAGGAAGAGCCTCAGTGGGATGAAGAATGGATGAAGAGGAGGATTCAGCCGCAGCAGCAGATCGTCGACTCGTTCACAACAACAGGAACATTCAGGTGAGGGGCGGAGCCTGTAGAGCAGCAGGAGGCGGGACATGACGTCTGAACTCTGCTGTGTAAAGATCAGTGTTGTTGTTTACAGCTCGTCCACACGGCGTCGGCCCTCATCACCAAAACATCTGGAACCTCCTCGTCTGTCCAAGTGGACGTCTTGGGAAATAATCGCTCGCTCGCTGGCCCCACCCACACACGCACAGTTTCCCACCACGTTTGTGAACGTTTGTTAACCGTGAGCATCAACGTGAGCAGACAGAGGTCGTCTGCTGCTTCCTGTCGGAGAGCGGGGGTTCGTTTGTTTTCTCTTCATTGAATTTAAAGATCTGCAGTTTGAACGACGCATCTCCAGAGTTTTTTACGGTTCATCCTGAGGGGAACATGAATGTCACGTGGAGATGTTTCAGTTTGGATCAAATCGTTGAAACATGACCGATCGGTGGGGTTTTCTCTGGAGTTCAGATCTTTGGAACCCTCGTCAGTTTAGACGGTGACGTGTTCGAGAACACAGAACATCTGAATGCTCCAGTGTCCTGCTCAAGGACGAAGGACATGTGATGGACATGTCGACTGTTATGAGGTCAAAGCAGTGACCTTTAGTTTATAAGACCCCCCACACACACACACTCCCTCTGTCCGTCACCGACAGTAATTCATCCAGTCACTGATCAGCTGTTCAGAGCTTCACCCATCGACTGCGTTTACACACGTCCAGAAGAATCGGCAGCCGAGTAACGAGGCTGAACCGGATTCAAAGAAAACTCAGTCCTCATGATTGATTTCATCGAGAGTCTCGAGTCATTCTGTTCAAAATGTTAAAGACAGAAAAGATTCCTGGATCTGACTCCTCCTGGAAAAATGAAATCTATAATGTGAACGTTCAACCCTGGATAAAAGATAGAAGCTGTTAATGAGCGGAGGAAGTGGAACAGGAAGTCGCTGAGTGTGAAGTTGGTCTGATACAAAATTAGAAAGTTGTTGACTAAAGAAATGGGACATAAAAGCTCCTGAGGCCTGTTCGTGTCTTTTGTCTTCGTACGACCAGATTCAGACAAAAAAACCTGTTTGGACCAAAAAATGAGAAAGTGTGAAAAAGTTCCCTGAACATTTTGACTGAACCGTCGTGAGACTCCAGCTCGTGAGTTTGAGTCCAACACTCGGTATCAGGTTGACAAATAAAATACGAGCATCAGAGCTGCGACAGCGAATTATCTGTGTTGTGACTCGAAGCTCGTGTGTGAGTCTGAGGTGAAATATTCATATATGATATTCAGAGTTTTAATTTAATGAGCTTTATAAAAACTTAATGAAACAAACGTGATTCTAACATGTTGCTAATCAACGGTGAATAAGTCAACTTACATTTATATTTATATAGAAACTGTGATATTTTATACTCACGTCGTTTGGAATGAGAAGCTCCTGAGACGTGGTCTGAGAACTGGCTTCAATGCCCCCTGAGAGAGAGAGAGAGAGAGAGAGACACAGAGACAGACAGAGGGAGAGACAGAGAGAGAGAGAGACACAGAGACAGACAGAGGGAGAGACAGAGAGAGAGAGAGACACAGAGACAGACAGAGGGAGAGACAGAGGGAGAGACAGAGAGACAGACAGACAGAGGGAGACACAGAGAGACAGACAGAGACACAGAGACAGACAGAGGGAGACACAGAGAGACAGACA